TATTAAAGGCCTTATTGGGAAGCACAAAGTGAACACAAAATCAAGACTTCAAATAACCGACATATCGGTGAGTTATTACAATTAAATAAAAATAATATCAGGTATCGTTTGACACACTTATGCTAATATTTTTAACTATGATTAGAATATACCATCTAACTAAACACCGAAACATGTCTTCAAACAATGTGGTTTATGCCTTGACAACCATACCACTACAATCTATGCTGGCTTGTAATTGGGTCACTAAATCCATAGATCAGTCTAATAACTAAAATACTAAAATAGTATCAAAGTCATAGCAGACGAAGGTTGTCATGTTGTCAACGTTTTCAGTAAATTTGTACCTAATAGGCAATTTTAAAGTCTTACTAAGATGAACCAAATAAGTTGAGTCATCATGAGATTATGATAGGGTAGTTACTTAAGTTTACTAACCTGCTTATAGGTTATAATATGAATCGATTAAAAAATTAACAAGTTTGGCAGAATAAATCTACATGGTAGTTTTCGCTTATTAACATTTACTCGTGTACATATTGATTGCAATCAACATAATCATAGTATACCTTAAGATGTTAGGTATAAGATTGCTTTATTTTATTTATTCACTATATGCTTAATGTTAATGTGTTTAATTTAAACTTTCAGATGTTTATCATAATCAGTCAAAATCCTATTTAGCTTCTTCCATTGATGATTACCAAGAAGTTAGATTACTTTCTATAAGATCTCCTTGCATTCTAAGCTTAAAAGCTTCGAGTTTTATCTGAAATAAACTGAAGACTTTCATTGTCTATCTCAAAAGGAATACTGAAGTATATCATTTGTAGAGTTTGTGAAAACTTGAATTTCTATCCAAAGGACTATAGTTTTCAACAAAAGACTTACTACAGGGATGATGAAACAAGTACACATATCATTCGATGTTTGTTTTGTATATCCTAACTGTTCACTTTCATATCTTTAAAAAGGTCTACAGAGAATTCAATTAAGCAGATTTTAAAACTTAAATTTTCAACATAGAGTGAAGTTAGAACAAAATATCACGAACACCTAAATGATGACCATAAATCGAATAAAAAAACAACCTCAATAATTTCAGTATGTCTTAAAGTGCTGTAACGGATCAATAAAGGAAATATGATTACTAACACTAATATATAATTGATATTCATTATTAGCTTGATTAAGTGAAAAACTAATCATGCAATTTGTAGAACGATATATGTCATGTTTTTTTCAGAGCATCCAAATATTTAAACTCACTTCGTATTATTTACTTGATTCTTAATTGATCAGTCTCTTATTGGTATATGTGGCTATCAGGACTCAGTAACTAAGTGAATAACACGATGGCATTTGGAGCGAAGGGTACTGGGTTCGAGTCCCAGATTGATCATCAACTGTGTGATGCAGGTACATCCAGCTGACGAGTCCCAAATAGGACGAAACGCGCGTCGTGCACTCCATTGCTAGCCACTATCCATCTTTGCTTATCATCCAAATATTTGCTTAAGATTTTTTTACATTAAATTTATTTTTCATTGATAAACGATTTAAAAGAATGCATCAGAAGAAAGTTTCTTTGATTAGATAAGCAGTAATAATATGTTATAAAAAATAAAAGGTTTAGACTTATATTTATACTGATTTGTTTACATTAGGTAGCTTTAAGTATCTTCTGGTGTACACACTCATAAACAAACAATAGATCAAAATCAAAACCATCAAATCTCGAAGTATGTTACTTTTAAATCAATAAGTTGAAATTGGAATGTTGTGAAATTCTTACAGTAAATATTGCTGAAGAGTATTGAACTAGAACGAAATGTGAAAGTTTCTAAATGACATATATTCATAGTGAAAATAATCTTGAAATTGAATAAAATTACTGTAACTGTCTAAGTAAGTGATCTGACAATTAAACATTATGATTTATACAAACTGTTTCATTTTATATTGATAAATAACAAATAAGAAAAGGATAAAGATTAATGCAGTATCTAAATCCTAATTCATTATAATACTCGATACTTATTAACACAGTAAAATCAAATGAGTTATAATGCTTGAATGAATTCAATAACCTTTTTTATTAATCATTATCTTATTTAAAATAGAATAAAAAATGATAACTCCCTGAATATAGGTCAACTTACATAAATATTATATAAGAAAATTATCATGTCACATGTCGTATGAATCAAATATTTGTGTAGAAATGATGATTATTTAATATGAACGTTTTATAGATAAATTTATAGGATGATTTTACTAAATAAGGTACTTAATGTTTATTATGTATCATTTCTAAGAACATTTTCATATATGTACTTTTAGATATCAGTCAATGAAGTTAACTAAGAAATTCAAAAAAAATATATCTGCGTAATCCCTTTAGATAATAATCAAAATAATATTTTTAAGTGAAAGTTTAACTCTCACTGATCAAAATCATGTATAGATTTGCTTAGATGAACATTTAGATGATTTGAAGGTGATCTATGAAACGGATAGATGTCGGTTAGAAAACTACTGGAAATCAGGGATAGATGAATAGTTGAGTAAACGTCGTTTAGAAATTTTCAACAGTGCACGCTTAAACTGTCACATAAAAACATGTTTTAAAATCTCGAATCTTGATATTATCTTATAAGATTCAGTTAGTAAGTGGTGATTCCATGGTCCTTTAAGTATTTTAATCAAAATGGTATACAAATTTTGTAGTTATAGTGACATTCGATAGTGATTAATAGTAGAATCCAGAGATTTTTCCCTTTATTTGGTCCTCATCAGCTAAAACACAGTGTTGACTTTTAAACTAAGGCTCAAATTCAGAACTATTCGCTTCAAGCTCTATGCACGTTATCCACCGAGGTATTGAGTCCAAACATTTATTAGCTTATGATATCCACTATACAGCTTTGCTAAAAACTTATGGCCAAATAGCGAAATCGAGGCAATGTTCTTAGGATGCATGTATGGCGAAAGAGACTGTCTAGTTAAAGTTCTCAATATCAACAATAGGGAAATACAAATCCTTACAAAAATGTAGATGTATAAATTTGAGTTATTCCAATGCACCAAGTTATAGTTTAACTAAAAGTCAAGTGCTTTTATTGTGATAAATCTGAAAAGTTAAAGAATGTTTGTTTAGTTAAACATGAAGATGTTCAGTTAATAAATGATAAATATCATCATTTGAATTTCGGACTGTTATTGACTGAGAACATTTTGAAAGTCGAAGATTGCGTAGCAGCTAGTTTACCTTACTTTGTGAAATCTCAACACGAAATACCTATGACTTCATTTCAAAATAAAAACAGAACCTTTAAGTTTACTAATAGTACGTCATCACTTAGCTATTTGGTTGAAATAAGACCTGAAGTCGACAAAGATCGCATTTCACATTCTCACAACAAGGGATAATTAACTAACTGAAAAGCAAATATGTTACACAAAATTTCATAGTCTCCGCTAGTGAAACCTGTTGGCTAACCTGTTGTTGAATATTGAATTCGTCAACATTTAGTTTCGTGTTCAATTTCATTTTAGCTCTATACATCCCTGATAGTACGTATATACAAAGATGAAACGAGAAAGCAGGACTAGTAATAGACAGTGAAGAAATATTGAGAATGAAGGGGTTCTACGGTGAACAAGGTCAATTCAAGTGCTACTGAATGCATGAGGATGATTGACGCATCTTAGCTAACCAAATCTTAGACGATTTATTCTTCTTGAGAATCATGAATGAAGTCATGATTGGTATAAACACTCTTTCCTATCTTAGAGTGTGACAGTATAACTCATCACTGTTTGGAGTAACTCAAGGAAATTTTGTGAGTTGGTTTTATTAATGTAAGCTCTCTACTTTTGAAACCTTCCTTCTAATACCAGAAATATATGGGACCAAGAATATTGATATTTGCTGGTTCGACTTATTATAACCCATCGTCCTGTTTGTGGGAAAGCATTATCACTCGGATTAGTGACTATCAGTGCGAAATATGTTACAAACTCACACTCTGGTAAAGTCAACACCCAAGTAAGATTGTCAGACACATAATATTCAACTTATTAAATACTCAAACATGTAGATCGAAACCTAATTGTTGATAAAATAATCAATGAATTATCTGGTGGATGAATCAAACAAAAAGCTTATGTTCCAGATTTCCTCTAATCAATTAATTGTACTGAGACAAAATCCATATTAAGGTGTGCTTCGTTAGACAATTGCAATAGCAAGACGTTCATCCAGCTCAGAAAACTTTCTAATAAAGTTTGACAGCAATCTCCAACATTGTATGCAACACCGAAAGGTAATACATATTGTGAATCTGATGGGTTTGGGACTGAAGACATATTGAGTTTTAGTAAACATGATTTTTAAATAAGTTAACCTCAACTACAACGTTATAAATCATTTCAACCACATAAAGTTTCTGTGTGGGCTGTGTTCAAATGAAGTTTATACTGCTTGATCACTTAAACATACTAAAACCTTTTTTAAATTAAACTACTTTCGAGTTTTATTGTGTCATAATGCAGGTTTCATTTAATATTTACTTATTGCATGGGTAACAGGACTTTCCTCTAAGATAGTGTATGAAATTTTTTGCAACTTCATTCATCAATGCTAAACAATCAACTGACACTCATATGTTAATTATCAGAGTCCGTTTTTCCATTTGTATTGAGAAAATACCTATGTGGTTCGGATAAATATCTCATCGGATTGTCAGTTTTGCCGAAACATCAAAGGTTATTGTTACATCCAATGGGAATTCTATTCAATCAACCCATTCATGTAAGGAGTGACAAAATACCAGCTATTTCATTCGCTCAAAATTATTTTTTGTAATAAGTCATCCCAATGGTTCGAATTGTGATTGGTTAATTTTATGTCAAGCGATAATTTACTATCGTGTTGAATTTCCCTTTATAAACCGGGTTTATATTATCGCCACTATTTTAAGCTTGCAAGTTTAGTGTGAGGAATGGAGTGTAGTAGTTTTTCGCACGTAACAAATCCGATGTTTTCGTATTCCAATAATTTAGGGGTCTGTTCAAATCAGATAATAGCAAATTCATATGATTGTGTAAAGATTGAGCCCAGTTTTCCAGAAGAAATGGGACGAACTCCAATGAAAGAAATCAATAACATAGAATCAAACATGCGAGTTGAAAGTGCTGTTCAGAATTATGAACACAATATTCCTTCCCCATACACTAATTCATCATATTCGGATAATTTTTCGAACTACGCAATCAAGAACGATTATCCCACTTATCAATTACCTGGGTATACGTACTATCCTCAGAATGACATGATAAACTATTCATGCATTCCACCTCATAATTATTCATATGAACATAACTATTCACCTGAACAATTGGATAATATCCCTCATTCGTTCAGTTGTCATCAAACCTATGAATGTTATTCATCATATTTACCTATCCGAAACCAAAGCAGAGTCTTCCCCATTAAAGTTGAATCTCCGGATAGTGATACTGAAAATAGTTGCTTTTCGACCAAAGATGAACAGACAAAGAAAAAGTATGCGTGCACATTTCCTGGTAAGCTGTTCTTTCATTATTTGTTATGGTTCTTGATCAGTAGTATATATCATTATTTAGTAGTATCAATAGTTCAACCAAACCACCGTATATGATGTCATTGTCATTAGGTATTTTTAAGAAAGTAAATCTGTTAACTTAACAAATGGAAACAACTAAGATGTGTGGTTTAAACTTAAGTGCTAAGCAATCATTTGTTATGAACTTAGCTTGCAGTTATTATTATACTACTTAGTATGGTATAATTTGGAAGGACATAAACCTAACTAAAACAGTCAAGAATTTCAAGTGGGTTTTGTGATTTTTGTATTCTGTCTTAGTCATTATTCTCCAATCATTTACTTAGCCTGTAGGAAATCATGGTATTAGGAGTATTCGAATTAATGTACTGACTAAGAATTGCCGGAATAGTACAATTTAAGGCAGGTAGAACTAGATAAGCCTTAATGAACATATATTTGTAATTCGTAATAAGCGCGCAATCGAATACAAAGGGATAATCAGTTAGTGGAAACAGTTTCAGCTTACGTAAATTGCCATCCACCGTTAATGATTATCTATCTGATAGGTTGCACCTAAAATGCATAGCTTCTAATAACTATTATAGAGCTGTATGTTTATTAGACTGAATGTGACGTTTCCATAAAGTTACTTGAACAAACTACCTGAAATTACCTCACATTTACCCGTACAAAATACCTGGAAATGTGTGACACTGGACACAATCTTTCGAAAAACGTGGTTGATCATTTAGTCTATGCTAGTTGCGCAGCTGGTTCTAGTTGCGTCTTCTTTTTGGACTGCATCAGATCGACCCATAAGATGACTTGAATTTTGTTTTTGTTAACTATATAAATCGTCCAGATACGAGTATAACGATCCCCAGTTTCGAATTCAATCTTAAAACAATTAATCTGATAAATCTATCCCGTGTTGATAAGTAGTTGTGGACAACTGAAGTCTTGGGGTGAGGCGAAGTAGTTAACTGTTGTTTTTTGTTTCAGTTATCTACCCAGTGTCAGTCGTAAAAGTCATTCTTAGATTGCATCTTCTAAGTATGGTATAAATTTGAGACCATATAAAAAGCCTAATAATTATCATCCCCACATGGGAATTCTTGTAACTTAAGTACTTAAGTTGCTAGGATTGTTGTTAAATTTTGATAGTTCATTCAGAATATTTTAAGGTGCAGTACTTCCCTTCCAAAACGACATTGAATTGGTGTGTCATACTTAGTTTTGTAAGGAGTAATCCGGTAGTCATGCTTAGTAGAATAATTTGTGTTATCTCTTTACACACTAATAATCATGTAAAGCTGCTAAAAATTAAGTCTTATATGAAGTTTTATAGCATCTGAAGATGTGTCCCCAAGCGGGATCTCCATGGGCAGCATTACTCAATACAACGCTAAGAAACAAGTTTGAATTCGTGTATGAATCTTCATTTAAGTACTAGATACTTATCTCTACGGTTTACTCAAGTAACTTTTTTGCTATTATTATCAGTAATCATGAAACATTAATCCATAACTCACTCTCAATTGTTTTCAAATATTTAAAGTGACGTATGTGTATTGTAAAACTCTAATTATGACTAGACCTGACAAGGAATTTTCCTCAGTAAAGTTTACAAAATAATCTCAACTCCGTTAGATAATTGGTTTGTACTACTGCAGTTTATAACAAAATAACTGGTTTTCACATTCTCAGTAATAGTGCATTTATGAATTGCTTTATTTCAAATAACTAATTACAGAATTTGATGTACGTACGTATTTCAAATGCGACATCTTATTAACGTTTGTTTCTTCAACGTTAATCATTTCAGGTTGTGAGAAAAGATACTTAAAGTCAAGTCATTTAAAAGCTCATTATCGAATTCATACTGGTAAGTGGGACATTTTTTATTGGTGTACTTTCGTTTTAAACATTAAGGAGAAATAACCGGTTATCGAATAGGAATCTTTTGAATGCTTAGTCATTGAAGCTTCTAGTACATATTCATACATTACTACGTTTTACTGTTCTATGGACCACTTTGTTTTCTGTGATCAAACAAGTAGAATTTAGGTACACGTATCCAGTAGCTCCGTCACTTTCTATTGGTTAGCTAGCTTATCGGCTACAAAACGTACTTAAACAGCCAGCAAGTTACAAACATGTCGGTGAAACTTGGTAAATTTATATTTCATATGAGAGGAAAGTGTAAACATATATTGTATTTATTAGGTTCAACTGGTAATCGGAACTATGTAATTTTGAACCTTGTTTTAGATGAACAAGAGACTTCCACAAGTTTGATAGTCAGTTTTTTTACTGGATGTCGACTTTCGCTGCACTTCGGTACTGATAAGTCGAAACGGAAGAAGCTGAGTGAATTCCGTGCAGGAGGGAAAATAGAAATCCAGTAATCATAAGAATAATGTTAGGGTTATGAAAGTCATTCCTCTTTCTACTGTCATAAAAAGTCAATTCAAGGGCTAAAAAGATTCTCATTTAATTATGTCAATTTGTATAGTGTCATCAACCCAATAAGACTATTTATAAGTAGTCATTATATGATCAACTAACTAAAATATGGCATAAATCTTATTTCTTAGCACAATCTTAACTGGTCTGAAAAATGGTTCCGAACGGTATCAAAGTAAGCTGCAAGAAGAACCATTTTCTACATGTTCAAATATATACTAGCATAACCGTTTGAGGACTAATGATTAGTTTTGTGATGTTGAAACTCAACTTGTGATGGAAATATTGCTTATGCTTTGATTCCCGAATATAACAGATTTCTAGTAAATTATTCGATTTATCTATTAAGTGCTTTATTTGCTTGAAATATGTTGTTTCTATACTGCAAGTATTAAGAATTCAAATGTAGTCGTTAATTAGAAAAAGGTGAACTGAATAACATTACGTGCTTATCATTTAAACTTAGGTAGTATCTGAAGTTGGTACTTATAAATTGACTAGCTGAATTATCATTCAAAAAACAAACAGAACTGAACAATTGTTCCTTGATGGTTTTAAACTCAAGGACTAGTAAAGGCTGTGAATGTACACTTTTATCAGGTTCTAAAGTGGGATAAAATAACTATCCAAGGTTGCTTAGTTTTAAGTAGTTCCCCAGCTAATGTAAGCTAGTAAGTGAAACAGACTTTAAATTGAAGAAGCTTTACAAATAAATTAACTCAAATAAAATGCTATTCATCAAAACTAAATAGTTTAGATAATGTTCATCTAAATTGACCAAAAGAACTAACTGATTTAAATACGATGCGTGTTTATTTTATTTTTCTAGGTGAACGTCCATTAGTTTGTGTATTTCCTTATCCACGTAATATAACTGGTAAAATTCCGATTAATTCATTGACTATACCAATATGTGGGAAAACATTTGCACGTTCAGATGAATTAACGAGACATTTAAGAAAACATTTAAATTTACGACCATTCAAGTGCAATTTATGTTCAAAAACATTTAGTAGATCTGATCATTGTAAAACACATCAACGTACTCATTTACATGGTCTCGATAAAACAACTCCATATTCCAATAAACATACTAGTAATGAAATAAATAACGATTATATTCATTCCTCAACACATTTAATAACATCAGCAGAAGTGGGTGTGAATTCTTTCATTAATCCTTTACCACCAACATCATTGTCATCGTCATCATCATCACATCGGTCATTTCCGATGAATACAGAATATTCACAATCATTATCATCATTAAGATCAGATTCTTTATCTTTAACTTCCTCTTCTATACATTTCCCAATATAAACACTTCAATAATAAAGTGTTAATTTCACTTTTTTTCTCTTCGGTTAATTTAATTGACAATTAAGCACTTTATTTTTGGGAAACCAAAGCCCGGTAATTATCATATCTTTCGTTATTTGGAATAGGCTAATATTTATTTTCGAAATTAAAAAAAACGAAGGGGTAAAAACATACTGGTTTTTGTTCATTTAACAGATTCTTTTATTAACTTATGTCGTACAGATTTCCATATGATTGGGTCATCTTATTTCTTTTTGAAGATACATATTTTTGCTGTCAAAATAACCTAAACAGATTTTTTTTAACCAAAGAGTTGTTATTTTATTCTTTTTATTCTGTATAATGTGTAAATAAAACGTTTTACCATATGATTTCACAGCATTTCATATTAGAAAATTAGTCCAGGTAGGATATTATTGTAGTTTTGGAATTCTCAGGGTGTCGATTTTATGGAAAGTGAAACCATATTGTGGGCGACCTATGCTCCTCCACGAGGAGTAACAGGCGTAATTAAGGGACCAATGACTACTACGTTACGTCCACCCATCTCAACTCAAATATTTCCAACTTCAAAGATTTTAAATTTTCTGATTAAATTTTCATGCTCAACTTAAAAATCTATCTGTCGACTTGTAACTTGCATTGTTATCTGTTAAAGATGGTCACGACATGTACTATTGATTAGGAATGTCTGGTAAAGAGCTTTCATCCACCTTGGCATTTCATTTGTGGGCCTTCAGTGGAGTAAACACAGTAAGTTGAAAAACTAAATAAGTTTGTATTATACCATCTCTGAGTGTGATAATCCATGTTTAAATCATGTAAGTTGGCTGATTCATATTAGTATGAGTGAGTGAACACAAAATTCCGAAGTTAACGAAAAGAATTAACGTACATTTGACATCATATTACAAAACATACTAGATTCATCTGCTAACTAGTAAGTTATAACCATGATCACTAGTAAAACTATGGATTATTCAGACAGTTGCATTAGTACAAACTGAATAGGACTTAAGCTACGCATTTGAAGTATCTTTCATGTGGAAATGATCAGTTTTACAAAGTAAGGAATGTAGTGACTAAAGTGACCTATTGAGGTCTCTCGCTGGACATATTTTTTGTATCACATTTTGTAATAAACTTTAATCCACTCCAGGTGACAATTAACTGTTTAGTTTATAGGATATTATTACGCAATCAATATTTATAAATACAAACGAACATCTTCACCTCATTCATATGGAATGTATAATTTTATGTAAATATGTCAAGGGACAGGATTCTCCACCTATATTTGTCTGCATAACATATTACCAAGATCTTTTATAAACATTTCATCCCTAAATCTTGTACTATAATGTGTATTCAGAAACATCTGTTTAGATTTAAGACAAGTTAAGCTGATAAAGTCTGTAATTGAATACATAAATGTAACCATTATATAATTAAACTATGTGGTAGATAATAATACGTATATACACGTGAATCATATTCACAGTTCGACCACACTAGAACGTTTTTCAAAACAGATCAGTGTATCATGTAAATTGTTTTTAAAACAAATTACTTAGTAAAATATGTAATTAGTTAGTTTTTGGCAATATGAAGATATATTTTTGACACTGTAATATCCAACTCACATTGACAACATAAATAGGAAAATTGACGGATAATATCAAGTACTAGACATTTAATCAACATCTGAAAATGTTGTGGATAACTTAAGCTGATTATAAAAAATTTCCATACAATATTTTCAACAAAGAAAAATCATACAAGTGTGTTAAATTAATTATGAATGGAGTATTATTATTAATAAGCTTGTTCAATCTGCTTAATGTGTTATATAGATAATAAATTTGACCAGCTGGTTAGACAATAATTTATTTGTTTACCTAAACTATGTAAATTACAAAGATACATGAATAATAAATAAACATCATTGAAATTTAAACAAGAATAATAAATTAAAAGATGAAAACACAAAACTCTACAGAGATGAGATATTTTGTAAGTAAAACAGTTATATAAATTCTTGAAAATATTTAGAATTAGAACTATTCTTTCAAGCTAACATAGATAGATTTACTGATAAATATTCTTCAATAAGTTGATGATAATAAGTGTAAATATATCTTCATTTAGATGTGATAATGTAAAATAACTAGTGTTTATTTTATAATTTCAGTAGTTGAAATAATGAACCAATCGAAGCTAGACCACCATGGAAAACCTGGAAGCACTAGACGGCCAGGATCGTGGATGAGCACTGCTGAGGAGTCCCACAATAGGACGAAATGGCCATTCAATGCTTCCAGGTGATCTAGCTTCAACTATTGAAAGTACTAAAATCTTCACAAAACTTCTGTTTATTTTATAGTTGAATTCATGAGTCAGTTGAAACTAGACCACCATGGAAAATCTGAAAGCATTAGACGGTCGTTTCGTCCTAGTACGGGACTCCTCAGCAGTGCTCATCCATGACCCTGAACACGGGACCCGAACCCAGGACCTCCGATCTTTCATGAAAACCCTTAACCTTTAGAGTACTGAGCCGACATTCAACGGTGTTAATGTCTAACTTCAACCAGTCCACACACGAGACCGATAGGTTCTGGGTCTGGATCTCGCTGGGCGGGATAGTGGATGGGCATTGCTGAGCAGTTTTGTATTCAGACGAAACAACCGTCTAGTGCTTCCAGGTTTTCCATGGTGGTTTAGCTTCAATTGACTCATAAATTCAACTTTTAAATTACTAAAGTCTCCACCAATCCTCCCGATAATAGTGTTTATTTCTATAAAACTACATTTTCTATCCAAAATTTTGATTGGATTATAACTCAACACAAGGAAACTAGACTACTTATGAAGTAAGTTCATTTAATTAGGGTTATTTAAAAATAATTTCATTCTGAATTGATGTCAATTACAGAAGCATTGAAACCAGGTTACTTCTTGAACTTATTATTTTTGTAATTTAATTGCGGAAATGCGCATTTCTTATTATTGCGCCAAAAGCGCCCACTATTACTTTCAGTGTGTATTTCTCAATGGAAGGATCTGAAACATTATTAGTTTGTTTTCTCTTTTGGTACGCTATTTTGTGACGATTTTCAAGGACATTTTCGTATTGTATATATCCCTCATAAGTTGGTGACTTTATTTGTTCTTCCAGGCTACTTGTAGCGTTATATGTTTTTCCTGCTGACTCCGGCTTTCTCCCTCTAGTTGTCTGGGCTGGGGAGTAACGGTACAGCTTAGTTTCGTCCTGTTATTGCGTTGTTGGTTCATGTTCCGTTTACCGGTACCAAGGTGATATAATGATATCTTGAACGTAGAAGCACTTAATGATGCGAACTTATTAAAAATTAATAATATCTACAGTAACCTAATACGACGGGCTTCGATATTCACAAGTGCATTATTATTTATCAGTTACAATTTTAGAAATCTATAATTTTCAAAATCTGATGAATCAATGTTCATTATGCTTCTAATTTACTTACAGTAAGTAAATATTCTGAGTTTGGAAGAAAACTCTAGAATTCAAGAAGCATTAATACGATTATGATAGTTTGAAGTTCATTAATAATTCATAGTAATTCCAGATTAATCCATTTCTTAAAAACAATTTTATCAATTAGTGACTCGGTTCACTTCATGAACTTTCTAGGATCCTAAAGAGATAGATTTGATTTGTAAAATATGTCGAATATTAATATGAATTTTGATCAATGATAATACGTTGAGGTTTGTAATAAACCAAATGAAATATTACAATACCAATCATGAGATTTCTTAAAATAGTTTAATAATAACGTGTCTTGACTTAAAATTTTCATTCACCATATATCAACTTTATCAGTATGAGGATTTATGGACATTGTGGCCAGACCATTGGAAACCAGGTTGTCAATGGTGGTCTGGCTTAGATTAACTTGTGAATCCAACTTTAAGAATTATGTCCATTTGTAGTGAAAACTATTATTATAGTTATCGATCCCCTCGCAAACTACCTACATAAATTATCTAAAAGGTGTGGTGAATTAATCTCACTTATATCTAATCTTGGACGATTTATGACTAGCTAGTACTCATCATAGTAGAGCTTACGTTGAGTTTGCAGCAACAATGTCTACAAATAGTAAAAAAACATAGTTCAAAATACAACGAATTGAGTTAATTTAAATGTATGTTTCGTGAATATCCAGACGATGATAAACCTTCTATTAAGATAAATCTCAACAAGATATTCATTACACAAACATCTATCGTTAAAGATAATAAATACGATTGATTGAATATATTTGAGTGTTGCGTAAGAGAAACACCATGTTGGTCCTTCCTTTCTAATCTAGTTGTCATGAATTGAAATATCATCCCATTTTAAAGTGCTTTCGTTTTGCGCCAAAAATTTAATGATTTTAGATTTTAATAAAATCAACTTATTGGTTTAGACTTATCTTAAGAATATATATGTAGAGCGTTCAAATGTATTAGTTCATCTATAACGTCGATTGTTCAGAAAATCTACTGGTTTAATAACACACTGATGAGGATCTAATCGAAAACAATATTGCTCGCTTATATATGTTGTTCTGAATCCAGTTAGTTGATAGCAGGAGCACTATAATTAATATTGACGTCAAAATTTTCAGCTGGTGATATTCAAAACCGAAATTCGGTCAATCTATTATGGGACATTGACTGTTTTAGTGGTATCACTTCCCAATTCCTAGTATCAGTAAATTTTCTGTCGAGGTTAATACAATGAGACCCAAAATGCACATGTATTCGGGACTTGTTAGCTGGATATATCCGCATCTTAATACTGATGTTCACACTATGACGCAAACATAGTGGTTATCGATTCAAACTACAGCGAGTTTTTTTACTAAGCTACTCAGTTTTTATGAGTACTAACATGTTCAACTGGTATTCTCATCAATATTCAAATCCCAAATAGAAAAAAGCTCCGTTCCACTCTAGACACGATAAAAAATATGTTCTAGCGATGTCAAAGGTTTTTTCATCAAGTAAACAATTGAGACTAATCAGCATTGTACTTCCTATATAAGTATAATTGAAGTCCTAACTTATGACAGTATCAATAAATGGAGTTTGATAAACTACATCATTTTATTTAGTTTGTTGGATGTTTTTCTTTGGGTTAGGTATTTGGTCATCAACTGAGCAAAGTAACCTTCTTGACCGAAAGTGTGCAATCTGTAAGGTAAACGAAACGGAAAAACAAATCCGAATCACAGCTAAAGTACATGAATATATACTTTTAAAATTTGACAGAATATCACTCAGCCTACACATTAATTTAGTAATCTAAATTCTAAAACTTACAAAATCGATTTTA